ATCTGGCCCACGGAGCCAACCTGGAAATAGCAAAGGACCGGCTAGCAATGCCTCTTCCAGAAAAAACTGAGCGCTCCCAAGTTCTGTTTTTTTCTGGCAGAGGGTTGCAGAAAGCCGCCACAGCCAAAACCTAAGCTTGGGAGCCCATATTTGCTGGCAGAGCATTTAGGCCTCCACAGTGATGTCAAGTTGACCACACCCACCCCGTACCTTCGAGGTGAAACACAACCCTGATGCTGCCCTCGATGAAATTGAGTTTGACACCCCTATCCTAAAGCAATCCAATGAATTTTACAGTCAAGAGGAATTAAATTGTGGAGTCTTCTTTCTGTTTTGTTCCTAATTTCACATTTATACAGGTAGTTCTCGAATTACAACTGTTCCTTTAGTGCCTGTTTGAAGTGACAATGGCACTGAAAAAAAAAAAGATTTACAATTGTTTCAGCATCCCCATGGTCACGTGATCAAAATTCAGGTGCTTGGCAACTGGCATGTACTGTATTTATGGTGGTTGTGGTGTTACGTGATCACTATTTGTAACCTTCGAAGAAAGCTTCCCGCAAACATAGTCAGTGGGGGAAGTTAGAGTTGTCTAATGACCGATTGATTCATTTAACAACTGCAGTGATTTGCTTAACAACTGTGGAAAAAAAGTCATAAAATGGAACAAAACTCACTTAACAACTGCCTTGCTTAGCAGTGGAAGTTTTGGACTACCTATATAATTAAAGGTTACTGGCTGTTTATTATTTAGATGTACTGAAAATAGAGAAGAAGAAAAATGCTATCAATTCTAATGTAGGATAGTAATATTGAAAACATTAAAATTATTTGGCTTTTTCATTCAGAGTTGAATATAACATCGGGAATAACCAACACTGACTCCCATCCAAGTATTTGTTGTACAATAGAAGTTTTGGTCTTAAGCTAATTATTTAATATTTAAATATTTAAAAAATATTACAATACTGTTAAATATATAATATATAATGTTAATAAAAGGAAAAATAAGATGAATGGAACAAAATTAACAAAAACTAAAATACCAAAAGAAAATGGAAAAAGAAAAGGTTCTCATTTCTCCCTTTTTTGTACATACTTTGCAATATTGATAGACATTTAGGTCCTCTTAGAAATCGTACGGTATGTGCTTATATTTGTCCTGCTGTGTGATGTGTTGTATGTACGGTCTTGTATGTATGTCATACTGATTCTCACAAATATTTTAATGTTCATCTACTTTAAATAAAATTTACTCTCATAAAAAGTAAAATGGGAGAGTACGGTATACTTTTAGGGTTGCTATTAAAATTTGCTTTGATGAACTTTCACTACAGGACCAAAGAGGAACATATAAAACTATGTATGATATATAGAGAATTGATAGAAAAGAGTCTTTATCTCGTAGAAGGAGAATGGCAGAGTCACCCAGTGAAAATTTATGGATAATACCTTCAGGAAGGACAATAGGAAGGTTTTTGTCATAGAACACAAAATTAACTTGGGAGATTTATTGACACAAGAGTTGGCAGTGATCATCAACCTGGATGACTCTAAACCAGGATTAGACAAACCCATGTTTATGAAGGAGGATGTGTCACAACTGAAAAAAGGAACTTTTCTACAGGTAGTCCTTGACTTATGACCACAACTGAGCCCCAAATTTTTGTGTTGCTAAGTGAGGCAGTTGCTAAGTGAGTTTTGCCCCATTTTACAACCTTTCCTGCCACCGTTGTTAAGAGAATCACTGCAATTGTTGCTCTTCCAGTTTGAAGGGCTTCAGTGACAGACAGGAATCCGCGATCGTGTGCAGTTTCTGCCTGGGCTCACCCCTGGAGCACCCCGAGCCGGCTGGTTTTGGGGCTAAGCCACCCCGTAGAGGTGGTGAAGAAGGGGGAGACTGCTAGCAGGGTCGAGGAGAGCCTCATCTCTCCTCCTCAGCTGGTCAAACCCCTTTCCCAAAGGCGGTAGGAGCGGTGGTCAGAAATGGCCACCTCAAAGAAGTACTCAACCGGAAAAGAATGTGCAGGAGGAAGATAAGAAGTGAAAGTTTTGGCTGACCAGGCTAAGTTGAAAAAGCAATAACTAAGGTACCCTGGAATTTAAATTTTACAAGAAATAACATCGCTCCCAAAGAAGAGTCGGAAGCAGCGAAATAAAGTGAAAAGGGAAAGGTTTGGCTTTTTTTTATTTCTCTCTCCTTCCTTATATTGACAATTAAGAATAAGAAATTGGAAAAATCTGCTTTGGCATCAACAGGCAATTAAGCTGAAAATATAACTAAATGCCAAAGGGACAATACAGATTTCTGGACATTAAAAACTTTTTCTTCTATAAGCAGGAAGGGAGAGAAAAAGAATAAGGGCAGGATCTGGAAGAGGGAGGAGACTGCCTGGACTTTAAAAGAATCTAAAGTAAAATTTCAATAAGACTTCTAAAAGATACATTTTAACTGAAACTTTGCAACTAAATAGTAACCCCAGGAAGAGAAAGTGGGGAAAAAAAGAAAGAGCAAAAGGAAACAGTTTGTGTGTATTTGGATTACTTGGTGACTTTTGGATTTTGGGCTATTATATTTGAATGACTAAAATTAATCGGGTAGTTGTTTGAATTTTTTTTACAATGGCATCACTTTTCGATGAATTGAAAATGGAACTTAAAAAGTACAAAGAAGAGGCACAAGAAGGGAGGGGTTCCTTTGGCTTCGTTTTTCAATTCGTAGAAATGGAGATTTGGAACTATGAGAAACAACAAGAAAAGACTGCAAAACAAGAAGACTGGGACAAAGAAGAAGCCATCTTTAATGAACAAGTAACTATGTGGGGAAGAAAAAGGAAAGCGGGGAAAGAGGATGGAGAACTTAAAGATTTAAAAAAACAACCAAAGAAAAGAAAAATAATTCGAAAAATAGGTATAATACTGGAAAACAACAGAAAAGGGGAATACATAAGAGGGAAGTAGAGGTAGAGAGACAAAGGGGTAAAAGGGAGGGAGAAGAGAGGGAAGAGGGAAAGAAAAAGAAGTCACAAAGGTCCGGAGCAAGATATAAAGAAACAGAACCTATTTAGAGATAATGGGTAAAAATTTAACTGAAAGGGGGATTCTGTAAAGGTACATGAGATTGTGTTGTTATATTTGAAATAGAAATAACTTTAGAAAATTGGAAACAGCATACAATTAGAATGAGGGATACAATGGCTAGTGTAACTTAGTGAAATGTCTGTGAATAAAGTAAAATAAATGAGAAAATTGAATTAGGAAGGAATGGGAACACTTTAATTAGTCAATGTTTTATAAAATATAAGTGAAGAGGGGGTGGGGGAATTGATTATGGAAAGCTAACAATTGTTCCCATAGAGGTATGATATTTAATTGAAAAGTCACATGAAAAATCTTAAGACTTTAATGAATTTTAATATTAATGATAGAATTGAATTGGAATGTTGTTTTAATTATATACATTTATAATTTTTTCTTTTTTATAAGAATATTGTGTAGTTTAAGAATGTACCAAGCAGAATCCGAATGGAAGCTATGTTTTATATTGAGTGTTATAACTTTAGGGGAAAGAAAGGCGTCATACTCCAATCAGTAACTACAGGAGAAATTTTGTTTAATGAGAAAAGATAATAGACAATTGAAACAGGACAGACAAAAAATATAAATCATTTGAATTGAGATGAAATAAATATAATAAAATTGAGGAAATTAAAAGAGGGGAGAAGCTATGTAGAAAATGTAAAATTGTAATAAGATATGGAATAGAATATAAAAATAAGCGTGAATCTGAAATTGTGTCTGCACGAAGAAATGAAACCCGGGATTATACTGCTTTCAAAAAAGATGTTTTAATTGTGTTTCTTTTCTTTTTGTGAAAACTCAAATAAAATTTATAAAAAAAAAAAGAGAGAGAGAGAATCACTGCAATTGTTAAGTTTGTAGCATGGATGCTAAGAATCGGGCTTCCTCACTGACTTTGCTTGTCAGGAAATCGCAAAAAATAATCAATAAGTCTGAGACTGTCATAAATACGAACCAGTTGCCAAGAGTTAAATTTTGATCACGTCACCCTGTGGGGCTGCTGCAACAGTTGTGTAAAAAAAGGTCATAAGTCACTTTTCACTGCTGTTGTAACTTCGACTGGTCATTAAATGAATAGTTGTAAATCAAGGACTAAATCGATATTTAGGAGATGCTAGGAAACAACAGTGGGAAGGAGATGATTGTTCTCAGGCGTTTTGGTGGACTTCTCCTCTGGAAGGAGAGGGTGCCAGATCTATCTTTGATCTAAGAATCTTTCTTAGGCTCTTCTGCCACTGAAAATGACTAGCAATAAAATGGGAAGGGAAGTATTCTGGAGAAATTTTGAGGAACATCAAAGGAAGACCACCAGAATTCCTCTGTTGGATATGAATCCATTTGTAATATCCTAAATAACAAGATGAAAGCTACTTTCAGCCCTCAGCTAACCATGATTCACAACTGTGGATAGTTTTGTTGCATACATGAACAGGTGCCCTATAGCTTTGGTTCTGTCTGATTATTATTTCAAATAGTTCTGATGAGTAGCAGCCAAATAAATTTCACCACTTGCTTTAAAAAAAAATCAGGGATGCTACAATTCTGTCTCATGCAGGTTTGCAGAACTGGCATTCAAGTCATGTGTTGGGTTTAACTGTTGTTTACTTAGTTGCGGTTTATTAAATTAATCTCCAGCTAAATCTGTTTCCTTGATATAAGAATAGAGCTGGTCCTTCTGTGGACTTCTACAGAGCAAACTTCTCTGTAGCCATTCTAAAAGGAGAGGGTGCCAGATCTATCTTTGGTCTAAGGATCTTTCTTAAACTCTTCTGCCACTGAAAATGACTAGCAATAAAACGGGAAGGGGAGTACTCTGGAGAAATTTTGAGTAACATCAAAGGAAGACCACCAGAATTTCTCTGTAGGACATGGATCCATCCCGAATATCCCAAGTAAATTCTCCTTTCTTCGTTCTTCTGCTTTTAGGTATACAAATGCTCTCTGTCCAGCCAGACACCAAACCGAAAGGTTGTGCTGGCTGCAACCGTAAGATCAAGGACAGGTATCTCCTCAAGGCCCTGGACAAATACTGGCATGAGGACTGCCTGAAGTGCGCCTGTTGTGACTGCCGTTTGGGAGAAGTGGGCTCTACCTTGTACACCAAAGCCAACCTTATCCTGTGCCGCCGAGACTACCTAAGGTAGGACACTGACATTCTTCAATGCACCATTTTCCATCCCTGTTTGGTCCCCTTCCCTTGCACTGCATACCGTGTAGCCCAAATGAAGCCGGCCATTTTCAACTGTTGCTACGGATACCTTGCCACATGGATGCACCATGGCAAGCATATACAAATGTGGCTTCAAGCAGAGAAAGCAGCGCGTACTCTATAAACCGATTGAGTCCATGCCTTCACACATCTATTCCACTCAATGGGTGACATTTTAGACATGCTAGAGTAGTTTTGTGCTGATATGAGTTTGTTCTGCCATGTCTTTGTTAACACTAGTTGTGGTAGAGCACGTTCGTAGGCAAGTTTATTTAGCATGGCTGCTTATAAATCTGTCAGATTCCTGTTTTTTCCTTGCCTCTAGGCCAATAGTTACTACATGATAAAACTATTCCCAGGACAGGCCAAGGGTGCAGGTGATGGGAAGGTTGACAGGTAAAACAGTCAGAAAAAAAATCCTTTCTTAATTTGCCACAGATCTGTGCTTTGCAGTTCACTGCTGCAAATTTATTCTTGATTAGGTAAATTAAAAAGTAATATTTCTTAGGCTCAAATCTCATCCCTCCTTCTCCTTTTTCCGAGTTTTCTGCAGTGAAAGTTGCTAGAATTTGGGCCATTTAAGATTTCCTGACAGGACTTGACTTGCTTATTTTATTTTCCTAAATAACAGTCAAGTGTAGCTATCACCTTTGTTCAAATAGTGTAAACACAAGGTAGTTTCCTTTCCGGTGGTTGACAGCCAGCATTTCAAATATCAAGGAGAAAAGGCAAGCCAGAAAAAAACACGTAGGGCAGGATGCAGGCTTATTTTCTGAATCTGATGATTATAAGAGTCTTTTCAGAGCTTGTGAGGATTCATGGATGAACTGTTTTGCCTTCTCCAAAAGACGAAACCATGATAAAATCTCTGAAACAACGTTGATGACAATTATTATTAGCAGAGACCTTGCCATTTATCTTTAGAATTTGTCCAACACACCTTGTTGTGGGAGAACATGCTCAAAGACAACAAAAAGAGCCTTAATTTCAGCAATGATTTGAGATGTTTTATCCCGTCTCCTTGGCACATTTTAAACTTCCAAATAGGAAACAGTTCTTCATTCTTTCCTGTAAGAAAGAATGCAACATTTCATACAGAGATGCATAACTACATGATGCTGTATGCAAACATTTCAGATGCTGCTGGCTATTATCCGGCTGATCCTGCTGAGCGCTGACAGTTAACATCAGAATTATTTTACGTGTCAATCAGAGATGCTAACACATAATCAGCATGTTTACTGTCAACATTCAGATGGGAATGTTTAAGGCAAACATCAGGACCTGTTTCGAGGGAACATAGTAACCAAAGTGAATTTGGTTGACATATGCTTTGGAGTTCTCTAGATAGCTGCCTTGGTGGTGGACACAGAAGTTCTGCTTTTTTTTTTTTAATTAAAAAAAAAACAGTTTGATGGGAGAAAAAGATACACATGAAAAAAGTTCTGAATGGAAAAAATGAGAAACTGAGAAGCTGCTTATTTCTATGGAAATAGTCCTGTACTTTTCTCACTACCAGCAGTCACACAAATACATATATTCCCCTTGGCACCTCTGCTCATAAATAAATATCAACACACCTTATTCCATCTATGAGAATTTCCCCAAATTTCTTGAAATTTCAAGGGCAAATTTATTTTGTCCAGAACTTTGGTGAAAAGTTTCAAAAGGTCGCTTCCTAACTTGGAGCAGAGGCGAATGAGAACAGGTCTTTTACAAAGAAATACATCGATCTTTTTCAGGAGATCTAGGTATGGTAGAATATACATCTGGCGTGAGGAATGAAGTTAAGAGATTAACTAGCTTGAAATCTCTGCAGAGGAGGAAGCAACAGAGACTTACACACACACACATACACACACACACACACAAAAAAAATCCTTGGTGGTCATGTGACTGGCTAGGCGTGGCCAACTCAACATCACTCACATCGAGGCACGCATCTCCTCTCCTGGCCTCTCAAGACTGTGGGGATGTTGCAACAGTCGTAAGTGTGAAAAATGGTTATAAGTCGCTTTTTTCAGTACCATTGTAACTTTGAATGGTCACTCCATACAAGCAAAGTATCAGCAAAGGAGGGGGAAAAAACTTCAGTGACTTTCCAGAGATAGGAAGTCTAGTCCTACCAAGAATGTAATAAGGGTTAACGGAGAGGCAGTATCTGTAAGCAACCCCAGAAAGTTTCCTTCCTGCCTTCCATACAGGATTAGGCCAGTAATTTCTTCTAACAACCGGTTCTCCGAACTGCTTAAAATGTTAACAACCGGTTCTAGAGGATAGGTGCGAACATGTAGAATCCCAGTCCTGCTTAACCCTGTTACTACCTTAACACTTAACAACTGTGGCAAGAAAGGTCATGAAAGAAATTTTGGGCTCCATCGTTGTTGTAAGTCAAGGACTACCTGCAATTCTTTAAGGAATTTTTTTTTCCATTATTGGAATAAAGACAAAAGCTGAGAAGAAAGGAATGCGTCATTCTCACTCTCCTGCCTTATTTTCTGTCTTTGTTTTAATTTGTTGAGTAGAATGAAAATAGGTAGCCTTATTAATTCGGACAAAGTCAAATTAAGAGACCGAAACATGCCATTTCTTTCGAACCCAAATGGACTAGGAAAAAGTACCAAGATCAACCAATTTCTTCATAACACCTTCGATTATTTCTGGGGAAAACCAAGCGGAGCTTTAGAAAACTCACCAGCTCTTTTGTAGTGAGCTCGCAAGCAAGGAGCAAAATAAAACGGATTGCACAGCAACCTGATTGTTCTGTAACCCATGGGAAACATTATTAGAAAATGAAATAATTGCTTAGGAATTCCACCGGGGAAAGTGACAGTTATTCAAAGTAGACCGCATGTTTTGCATACAAAAATTCCCAGGTTCAAGCTCTGGCATTTTCAATTAAGAGGGTCAGATAAAGGGTTGATGGGAGAATTTGAATTATTCCTTGTCCTCTCGGGGCCAGGCCTGTGCCTACTACAGGTACTCCTCGACTTACAACAGTTCATTTAGTGATCATTCAAAGTTACAACAGCACTGAAAAAAGTGACTTAGGACCGTTTTTCACAATTACGGCCTTTGCAACATCTCCGTGATCATGCGATCAAAGTTCAGATGCTCGGCAACTGGTTCATACTTATGACCGTTGCTGTGTCCCAAGGTCATGGGATCCCCTTTTGCGACCTCCTGACAAGCAAAGTGGATGAGGAAACCGGGTTTGCTTAACAACCATATTGCTAACTTAAAAATTGCAGTGATTCACTTAAAGGCTGCGGCCAGAGAGTTCATAAAATGGGGCAAAACTGACTTCACCAATGTCTTACCTAACAACTGAAATTTTTGGGCTGAATTGTAGGTCGAGGACTATCTGTAGTTAGTCAGTTTTGGATCAGAAAAGTTCGAGCCAAAAAAAGAAAAGTTTGATTCCTATGATTTTATGGACACGTCCGCCTAGATTTTTGCCAGGAATTATGGAAGTAGCTTACCTCTGTCCTTGTGTTTTAGTAGTCCTTCATAGACTCCCATCCAGGGGTGGGCTGCTGGGGTTTCCCAGGGGGTTGGGAGAGCCCCTAACTAAGATTCTGTGCAGTTCAGAGAACCTCCAAATCCCACTCCTGGCTAGCCCTGCCCTGACCCGCCCCTCCCAGGAGTCTCCACATGGCCCATTTTGGTTTTTTGAAAATTTTATTGATTTTTGAAAACAAACATAAACAAACAAAACTTAGAACATAAAAACATAAAACATCTTTTCTGAAAGCAGCATAGTCCCGGGTTACATCTCTTCATACAGACACAAATTCAAGTTCATGCTCATTTTTATATTCCACTCCATATCTTATTACTATTCTATATTTTCTCTATAGCTTCTCCCCTTTTTTAACTTTCTTAATTTTGTTTTATTTATTTCATCTCAATTCAAATCATTATACTTATATCCTTTGTCTGTCCTATTTCAACTGCCTACTATCTTTTCTCATTGAACAAAATTTCTCCTGTAATCACTGATAGGAGTATGACACCTTTATATCTTTCCCCTAAAATTATAACACTTAATATAATACATAACTTCCGTTCGGATTCTGCTTGGTACTTTCTAAAATTACACACTGTATTTTTTTTTAAAAAGAAAAAAATATAAATGTATAATATAATTAAAACAACAATCCATACCAATTCAATTCTATCATTAATATTAATATTCATTTAAATCTTAACATTTTACACATTATTTTTCAGATAGATATCATACTTCTGTAGGAACACTTATAAACTTTCCATAGTCAATTCCCTCCCACTTCACTTATATTTTATAAAACATTGAGTAATTAAAATGTTCCCGTTCCTTCCTAATTCAATTCTCTCATTTATTTTATTTCATTTATTTTGTTCACAAAAGTTTCACTAAATTACACTGACTATTTTATCCCTCTTTTTAATCATATGTTGTTTCCAATTTTCTAATATTATTTGTATTACAAATATAAAACCATCTTATGTACCGTCACAGAATCCCCTTTTCAGTTAGATTTTCACCCATTGTCTCTGAATAAGTCCTGTTTCTTTACATCTTGCTCCAAACCTTTGTAACTTCTCTTCCTTTCCTTCTTCCCTTTCTTCTTTTCTCTCCCCTTTTTACCCCCATCTCTCCACCTCCATTTCCCTCTTCTGTATTCCCCTTTTCTGTTACTTTCCAACATTATAGCCACTTTTCAAATTATTTTTCCCTTTTTTGGCTGTTTTTTTAAGTCTTAAATTCTCCATTCTCTTTCTCCCCCTTTCCCTTTCTTCCCCAGATAAAGTTACATCGTTCATTAAAGACGGCTTCTTCTTTGTCCCAATCTTCTTGTTGCACAGCCTTTTCTTGTTGTTTCTCGTAGTTGCAGATCGCCATTTCTAATAATTGAAAAATGGAGCCAAAGGAGCCCTTCGCTTCT